ACTAAATGTTTATATACTGCTTATAAATTCCAAATAGGGGGCGTTAAATTAAAGTGTGACCCATTCCTTGCGTCAGCTCCACTGGTATCCAAATGACTCATCCGTCCTGTGGGCCGTGAAGTCCATTGATCGGGCTTGTGTTAACCAGCATTGATTCCTGCTTCGTTAATAACATTAGAAGAGACACTAGTCAGTGTAAGGACAGGTCTCTTCTTTGCTGGACCAGACAGCCTTATAACGATCACCCTCTGTGTGTTTTTGTTTGCCCCAGAGACGAGATGGAACACAATTAGTCTCAACTCTACAGCTGAAAGAAAATTGACTTGCTAATAACCACTGACAGGCTTTTGGGTCGGTACAAGAATAACACTTGTTGACATTTGCCTGAGCCGAGAGAAAACACGGAGTGGGTTTTCTCTTCTTTCCATGCAGGGTGTGCATGTTGTTATGAAGCGGGCAAACAAACACAATTAAGACCAAATCCCTCAAAAAACGCCTGGAGAAAGATAAAAGATATTTGTGCTGGTTTGTTTTCTTCAGTCCAGACTGTCAGAGGGCTACGGGAAAGACACAAACAGCTCCTAAATGGATTGCTGCAGCAAACGGATGATGCATTCTACAGGCAACGCTTTTTACTAAAGCCTCCTAGTGAGGAGGTTCAGTTTACTCCGCTCTTGAAAAATGGAACAAGCTTCAGACTCGGCCAGGGGGGGCGAGACGTAATACTCCAAAAACCAAAACCAGAGGAGGACATCATTAGGCAGCACTGTCATGATCTGCCTCTGTGATGTGTACCAGTGTGCTTCTTGAGGCCGGACAGGATGAATCCCACATCAGAGACAGTCCTCTGCTCTGGGCTGTTTGAAGAGATGTGTACAGAGATTGTTTCTAAAGCCAGTAAACTACCCCTGCACAAGTGACGTCTTAGTCCAGGTTTGCCAGAAAACCAGTAAACAAGTGGATCAAGTGTGTTGTGTTACTGGGTCGTTCTCTGCAGTTCCTTTCAGAGTTTTTTTTATCTTCTCTCGGCTCATTGTTTTGGTTTCATGGCGGCAGCTTGGCTGTTTTGGCTCAGTCGTACTGCTCTCATCGACCACCTCCAGCCGTAGCTGGTCTTGTTTCCCCCCTCTGATAAACCCACTGGTACTATAGCTCAGCAGCCAACAGACACAGTTAGCGACGAGCTGGGGAAAATGTTGGATCATTTAGATGCTAAAGAGACAGAATATTGGACTTAAATATTACCGGAAACACGACTTCAAATGAATGTTAATGTTGTCTGGATGTCTAATAAAGTTCACCATAACAACTTCATAAGGTTATAATATGTCAATGTTGTCTTTACAACTTATTGTGTTGCCCCAAAGTACAGAATTATTTGCAGAGAATTTTTACTAAAACAGAGTTTAAAAGTTATTCCTTTTGAAGAATGGTTCCTTTCACTGCGCCTTTAGTTCTGCATTGGCCCTAACCTGTGAAAAGTATTTTGATATTGCTCTAAAGGAGAGAGAATGTGAAAGGACGACATTGATATTCCTTTTACAAAATTCTTCGGCATTCACTCAAATTTTCTGAGTCAGCAAAGGTTGCTGCATTTTCACAACACAACCAACGGAGGGATGATAATACAGAGTGAGGTGCAAAAATGAGCACTGTAATGATTTAATATTCAAAAAATGAACTCCATCAGTGGCTGAATAATTTGCATTGTTATGATATACTGACGGTGTTGCAAGGGATAAAGCATCTTTGCTATTTATATTATATAATATATATTTATTTATTTATATTATATTTAAATTGCTATTTATGTCACAATGGCTACGTTAAACTCAAAGTACTTTTAAAGTCTGAGAAGAAATACTACAGTGTACTTCTGATGCTTTTAATGTACAATATACTGTAAGTATTTAAGTATGTAAATGAAATTGTAATCAGTTAGTTACAGAGAAATATGTAATTCAATGACTGATGCTTATCTAAATGTTGGTGATTACAGAGGGGTTACATTTCAGTTTAAAAGCTTGTATGTAGAATACATGCACAGAGCAAACACCACGCCGCTCCCATTGGAAAACTCACTAAAACGGCGAGAGGAGGAGATGCAGAAGTGAGAGAACACAGAGTTGAATGAGATCGTGTCACCCTTCAGCAGACGCTCCGGGGTAGCCGACGACTTCCATGAGATCACAGAAACGCTGAAGACTTGTACACAGTCTGTGATCATCCTCCTCCGACATCAAAGCACACACGCTGCATTCTTTATCACCGTCACTCTGATCGCTTTATAGAGCTCTGCTGCTCTACGAGATGATTACTGTGAGGTTTCCTCAGATACGTCTTTAAGTTACACAACTTTACTCAATAGTACGACACTCCTCTCGCTTGTACACACTAGTGGCTCTCTCTATACGGCACAGAGATGATAACACCTCTTGAAACAATGCAGTAAAATAACATATTATGTGTCTGTAATGTAGAAGAAAGTGACACCATTCTCCTGGAGAACACGGGGGGGAGTGCTAAGTCTCTTCCTGTTGGGCGTCTCTACTTTGATCACACCAGGGAAATGTCAAAGGCACTTTTGCCGTGCATCATAATCATAACCAGCCCTGCAACATTACCTGCTGCCTGTAGCATTCGTTCCTGTTTCTCCTGCCTGTGACGCACAGATATTACCAGATTACATCCGAACAGGACGGATTTCACCGTTGGAAGCCACATTGGTTTCCCACAGAGCTGAGAACTGGATCAACTGTATCAAACAATAGAGCTGTTGATCATAGAGGCTGCTGTGGCGTTACCAATGAAAGCACATTTCTAATTTGCACTGGAACGTGTCATCACAAAACTCCCCTAGAAATGATGCCAACAGCAAATATCTTTTTACATACCGAGCATGTCGTACAAATGTTGATATGGGCGTATTAGCAACGTATTGTATTTGTTTCCCTTCAACATCTGCTCGAGAAATACAATATCAGCTAATGTCAGCCACGGTTTTATATGGTTAGGCCCTGCTGGCACTTGGTTAGGTTAGTGCTGGATTTTAGAACACAAGGCCTACGCTATGCCTGCGTGGTGTGGAGCTTGAAATACATGGGCTTGTAGATACACTATTGAATTGTTTATGCACAGCATATGTCCAGCGTTTTTGGAGCCTGACCTAAAGAGACTTAAGCAATTCATTTCTTATTCCTTCTCTCACAAGTCCCCAAACTATGAAACTACAAGACAACTGCAGGACCACTTAAATGGATAACATTAACAAGTCCACAAAGTCAGTAATGTGCTTCAATACGTTTGTTACAGTAACTCATAAACAACCTCCTCTCCGGATTTTATTGCTACACCGCTTTAAAAAACCAGCAAGACACGACTGTGTGTGTGTGTGTGTGTGGGTGTGTGTGTAGTGCTACAGCTCCTATTCAACGAACAGTCTGTACATCAGTTTTTTTACACACACTCCTCCACACACCTACACTGCTGCCCCACCGGCTGAGTCTAGAAGGGTGTGTTGGTTAGAGATAAGATTTTCTCTGATGTCCTGATTTCTCTTATTCGTAAGCCAAAGTGACCC